ATTAATATAGCTTTCCTATAAAGTTATTTGACAACATTGCAGTGAGAGTTTAAGTATTTTTATACTTTGAGCTAGTAATCATTCACTGGCATGCTTCTCAGAAATTGACAAAATGAATGACCACACAATTGGATAACAAATCCCTAACAAATTAGATTATTCCAAATTGTTTGCTTTCAACCATTATGAAGATGGACCTGAAAGCTGTTAAATCATCACAAATATGATTTGGGGATGTCATGATCTTTAAAGGCATTTTTAAATATTGGATCACTGATAAAGCTAAATTTTAAAATTTTAATCTACACTTATACATAAACAACTTTCTCAGTCCCTATGTACACATAGCTAATTGAAAAATAAGTAGAATTGGTGCTGAATTTATTAAGAAAAAATACTAGCTATTCAATGATAGTTAAAATGAGTAAAAATTAAAAACCCAATTCTCATGAAGTCAATAAAATTAAAATTTTGTATTAACAGTAACATTTGTGATGTATTTTTTACCAACAATCATTTTAATAAATATGCTAATTTTCTTGCAAAAAGTATCAGATTTGCACCACTTTGATATAAATTCCTAAGGAAAATGTACAATGGAAATAGGAGTTTAGGAAGAAAAGCGTAAAATTTCTTTCTGTTAATAAAGAGCTCTCATGAAATTCTTTTCAAATAGACAAGGTATCACATCACCATGGTATTAAAATTTCACTTCAAATATTTTGAAGTATTAGAATGTCCTTTGCAATTATTTAAACTTTTACTTAAATCTATATTATTATTTTTATTTCAATTAAAGATATGCAAGGTATTATATAATTCAAAAAATTATTTAAGAAGCCATGTGAATGAAAAACTGTAGAACAGAATTATAGAGGACTTCAGTGCCTTCTGCTTACCTCTTAAAAATTAGGATTTGGAAACAAAACGCACCCTAAATCTTGTTTCACATAGAATATTTCCCAGACTATCTAATATATAGTCCTCAGTTCTGGTATATAGATTACAGTGGGCAGAGCAATGCTTCTTACCACATATGGCATTGCAGAAAGGCCGTGTGAGACCTTAGAGTAGCCTCTCCCAACCACGGGTATTTTTGAGAGTTGCTGATGACATGGAACAAGCTTCAATTTACCAGTCATCAGTTACTTCTTTAACATCAGCTTCCATACTTATTTTAAAATCATTTGCTAATTTACCAGTCATCAGTCACTTCTTTAACATCGGCTTCCATACTTATTTTAAAATTATTTGCTTTAAATTCAGGTGTCAAATTTTAAAGTCTTACACAAACAACATTAATGATGTCTCTTAAAAACTGGCAAAATTTAGGGGGAATTGTTTACCTATTCAATTTTCTTCCAAAGTGACTCAATAATTTTGAGCATTATCCTGGAAAGTAGAAACCAACAAGCTCTTGAATTAACTACACATAGAAATATAGACACCAGATATTAGAAATTGTGTGAAAACTATTTTATGATCACGTTCCCCCTCAGCAAAATATCAAAGAAAATAAAACCCTAATAATCATTATTTCTTCACCCTAACAGTCTCAACTAAATTAATAGCTTCTAATTCCTACTGATAGCTTGCCTATGGCAATAGGTTTCTGCTGTCATCACTCCAAAACAATCTGCTCTATAGGTCAGTCCTGAGCTTATAAATGTCAGCTCCAATGGTTTCTACTCAATCTTCGTCTGGTTTATTTTCCCCAATTATTTGACACAGTTGACCATTTCCTCTTTGCTAAATAATCTCTTATCTTCCTTGACATCTGATTTTTTACTGTTCTGGCACTATTACTATGGTTGCTCTTTCTAAGGCATGTCAATCCTTGCAGTGGTGGGAGTCTTACTTCAAAGTTGTTCTTAACCTCCTCCTGGCCCTTCACTTTCAGGGGACCATCCCTATTATTCCAATAATTTCAGCACCTCCATGCAAATATTTTCTAAATCTACACCTTTCAAAGGAAATCTTACCTAAAATATATCTCATTTCCAACTGCTCATGTCCTTCATGCACAAGTTCAACATATCCTCATTTTCTCTCTTTCATATCCATACCACAACCTTCTCTCTTGCCCTAACACCTTCATCCCAAAACCCAGTACTTTCCCTGTTCTGGGAACCCCCTGCAAAGCACTATGACCTTCTCCTGGGGGCGGGGGTGTCTTTAAAATCTCTCTCTCACTCCTTTCCATAAAAACATCAATTCCTCTTGACCCCAATTCTGCAATATCTATATAACCCATTCTCACCCATTTCATTACCACAAGCCTAAATCTCATCTTAATCTACCTGGTTTCCCATCTGGGTTTCCAAATTAAACATTCTCCTTTAACAATCACCCCATTAGTGGCCTCCTTTCTCTCTGCTCCCAATTTGTTTTATCCACAATAGGCTGAACCCATTGTTGCCCTCCTCAAACCAGAGCTCATTTGCTGACAATATATCCCCAGGCTGTTTCAAGGCTTTGAACACATCTAAATCCAATCTCCTGTGGAAATGCATCATGTTTGATTTTTAAGTCACAATATAAATCACAGTGCAGCATATATCAATAGCAAGCACTAAAAGATTTGGAAACATAAAGGCAGGGAAGAAAGAGGAACAAATGGAGAGCTGTGATTCTTAAAATTGTTCCTTATCATAGTAACATTTTCTAATGAACTTTTGCATTCTTTAAGGAGTACACTTAGTGGCATCTAATAATGCCTAATAATTCCTTAACAATGATGAATGTGGGGCCTCCCCGGTGGCGCAGCGGTTGAGCGCTGGGTTGCGAAGCTGCCCACGGCCTCTGCGGCGCCGGTTCGATCCCCGGCTGCTCCCCGGCCACCAGAGGAGGGTCCCACATGGCGCGCAGACCTCTCCTGCCGCCCGCTGCTCCCCTCAGCAGTGTACTTCGGTCCTTCTGCCTGCTCTGCTCCCCGCTCTGGCTCTGGTGAATTCTCTCACCCTCCCGCGCTTCTGACTGTACCCAGTGCATGTATAAACCAAAAAACAAAACAAATAATAAATAAATAAATAAGACATGCCTCTAGAAAATTAAAAAAAAAAAAAAAAAAAACAATGATGAATGTGAATTCCTTTCCCTCTTTAACAGCAAGATAAGCATGAGGGTGAATGAGGTATGTTTTAGAATGTGTTTCAAGATGACTGGGCAAAAAAGTAATTATAATAAAGTAAATATCAAAATCAACAGGCAACTATAAACCAGAGACATTCTATGGGGGAAAGGGGAGTAGCATCTAAACAGGGGTGGGAAGAGCACAAGGGACTATGGTGATGGTGCACGGGTGAATTGGTGGTGGGAATTTCATGGGCACTATAACTGAGATGAGAAAGCATACATTGTACAAAAATGAAGAATGATGTAAAAAATTATAAAATTATAAAATTAAAAAAATAAATAAAAATTTAAAAAAAGATGACTAGGCAAACAGTGATGCAAAATATTTCAGTGGTAAATTCTTTGTATTCCTAGAATTCTCTCTTGCCAAATACAAGAGTTAACAAGCAAGTGGGTGATAACAAGCAAGTAAAGCTAAGATATCCCATTATTTCTTCCATTGAAATGAGTTTTACACAATGATTCAATCACTTTCCTTTTAAAACAAAGTTACTGTCAAGTGAAAAAAAATTTAACTGATGAATTATTCAGATTTGAGCCATCTGTGACTCTCTCTTCTCTCCCCACTTAACAGGTTAAGGATAAAAACAGACTGATTGAACAAAGAAACTGTAACTAATTATTATTTACAATTTTCAGAATTAGTAATCAAATTGAGAGATCCATGTTGATCTTACCAAACTGCCTTGCACTCAGTAACCTATGAACTTGGGTTCACTTTTAAAATTTCCCAGTTTTGATGCAAAAGAATCCCTGACTAATACTGCCACCTACTGATCGGGAGATGAGAAACATGACGATGAAATAGAACACAATCCAGCTTAAGGAAAACTAGGAAGAGACGATATAAAATACTCCAAAGTTGTAGAATAAAGTGCTTCTCTCAAGAGTCCAAGCAAAAAAATTTACACTGAATTCTACAGCAGAAGTTTTAAACACTGTGTAATTTTCAAGAATCATAATTCCTTCAGAAAAGAGGAAGCATCTCCAAAATATTTACAGGGTAACCAACATTATATAAAAATCAGCTTCTTTGGCTTTTCAGCAGAAATTTTAAGAGTTAAGATATCTGAGATTTAAAAAAAAATACCCTTGCTTTTATTTCCCCCTCACACAAATAAAAAGTAATCTACCCTGAGATTTAACATTTGCTAGGAAAAAAAAAAATAAAGAAAAGTAATTGGGTTAATTCCAGAGCATTTATACTTGAGACCTTGAGACTCTATATTTCTTCTTTTTAGAATTGTAGATACATATCTTTTCTTGGTTATTAAAATGTAATATTGCTAAACACCAATAAATGTGAGTCCAGAGACAAAGGACTAAAATAAAATGGCATTTTCATATTTACTAAGCTTAAGAGCTGATACTTTTCATTATCAAAACCCTCATGTGCTTCTTTTCTTCTCCTGTGGGTAGTAAATTTGATGAAAATCAGTTTACAAAGGCTTTAGGAGGCCATTTATCTAAATAATGACATTGACTCCTGTCTTTCTCTGAAGTTACACACCCCTAAAATGTTTTAAACATGCACTATTGGTTTTTATATTGTCAATTGTTTTCATTAAATCAAGCCATTAGTAAAAATTTGCTAGCTGGAAAATTAATGCAGATTGTCAAAATCAGAACAGAATACGGTGTGTTTTGAAAAATCCTAAAGAATAGAAATTTGCATAAGAAAAAAACTAAAGAAGAAAACAAGGAAACATACCTCCTACATCTTCTCACTTTAAAAATAACACAGGAGCAATAGGAGCAATAAAAGAACAGAAGAGACTTTTAACAAAAACAAAAGTAGTTCATTAGTACACTTGCAAACACATACTCTTACAAGTAAAAATTCCAAGAGAAGATAATTTAGAAAAAAATGCATTTAATTATTAAAAAAATTTAAATAAAAAAGCAATGGCACAAATTACCACAAAGTTATTTAAGTGATCATATCCACAGGCTGCTCTTGTAATTAAATGCTAAAAATTTACTACTGTTCTCATTAACAGCATTTTTCCTCCTAATTAGAATGACATCAAGAGCCTTTGAGAATGTGTCATTTTTTCCTAAAGTACTACTAAAAGTATCATAAACTCAGTTTGTGCAACATTCATTTACATCACATTTTATTTACCACTCTCTAAACGCATATAATATTGAAGATTTCTTTCTCACTCATTCCTCTTATTTACAATACAGAGGCTTATCTTTTATCACAATATGGTTTGTGCATTAAAATCCCTGCAAGTAGCCCTTTCCACAGCATTTTAATAAAGTTACTCTGATTATTTAAAATAAGGACACAAACAAAAGCTTGTTTATATGACTGTGTCATACCCAGAAGAATAATTCTTCCTGCAGACTTATTTATGAGTTGAAAAATGCCCATCTTACTAGAATACATTCTCAACCATTACTGGATTATAATACCATGCATATTTATACTGTGAATATGACAATAGGTAGAGCCAGCTATGACTTTTTCGATTTCATTTTGGAAGAGAACTTCATACATGAAGCGATTTGGCTTTCACTCTCTTGGTATCTATAATCCAGTTATTCCACATGGATGTATTTTATTTATTCTTAGTATATAAGTAATTGGTTCAGTACTAATTGGCAGTCTCTGAAGGTTCTATTTTCTTCATAGTGGATACAGTTCTGTGCACATATGTCAGATGAACTGAAAAAAATGCAAATCACTTCATGTGATACAGCAGGAAGGGGGATATTATTGTTTGAACAAATGACTCAAAGAGATGAATATTAACATTTGATAGTGACAGGAAAATTGTTGAATTCAGTCTAAGATGTACTGTCTTTGCAACTTGCCATACCTGGTATTTATTTTCTTTTTGGTTAAGAAGCAAATCTAATTGGGAGAAGGCAGATGTGAGGAAGAGAGAAAGGTGAGAAAGCATCTATATGATTGTTAGAGAAAAAAGTGAAAAGGATGAGAGCATATTTTCATGTTAAAAAAAAGCTGTCACATCTGGGTACATTTGACTACAATGAAAATAGCCTGCAAGCTAATTAAGCCCCTTTTCCTCTCACTTCAGAAATATCTGTTTTCTAATAACATAATAATAATTATTAACATAATTCTGGCAGCAGCACAAATCTTTAACTTTTTAAGACTTGAGAATGTCACTATTCAAGAGTTGGATACATTTGAATAATGAAGGAACCCTGCCATTCTTTTTATTTACACTCTTGACCCAGCAAGTATTATTAAAGAAGTCCTTGTGGTTATCTGTAGCTTCTATGATGGCTTTGACTTTATAACCCAGTCAGCATTTGGGTTGAGCTGATATAAGTCCTTCATGTGAGTGTCTTCATCGAGGCAGCGTTCTCCTAGAAAAAAGATGTATAATCAGTTTGATACAACAGGTAGATTGCAATGCAATTTTAAACTTAAGTGTAATGGTGCAATTGAAATCTTAGGCTTCAAAATATTTCTCATTCTTTCCCGTATCCTCTAAAGTTACAGACTTGGCCAAAATATTGGAAAATCAATGCATTAGTCTTTTTCTAAATGAACAGGTTTCAGATTAATTGAGGAAGTTGAAAATATTTTGTGTGATAGGACTTTCTAAATGGTTTCTTGAAAGTTCATTGGGCTTTATAAAGAATGGCAACAGTTTAGAAGCCACCTAAAAAAGAATCCACACTAAATTCCCAATGTCTAATGGTATAATGCAAAATCAACTGTGCTAATATTAAAATATTTCTGTTAATAGAGTTAATGATTCCAGATTTCTAATGGAGCTCTGGCTTATTTAAATTTTATGAAAGGTTTCATATTCCTCCATTCAAATTTCAATATTTAATAATATTTTGAAGTTTCATTAAAAATTATGAAAATCATCTTAAAATATTTTCATTAGTATTTTTAACTAACACCATTTCATTTATTTGCTAACAAATTCAGCCATACTATTTTCAAGTACGAGAAAAAGAGAAAAGTTATTTTAATTTTAATAGTAAGATGAATACAGTCCATTAATGATTGTAAGTGATCAAATAAATACAACATAGTCAAACTTAGTCTGTTTATCATATTTCTATTTCCTGAGTTACCTCTGTGTGTGTGTGTGTGTGTGTGTGAGAAATCAATTTTAGTGGCAAAAATAAGTTCTACTTTCACTAAAAATATCCAGTACTATACCATAATAAATGTGTTATCTTAGTCTTAAGAAAGCTCAACTATTTCCTTTACCAAGATGTAACATAAGTGTGTAAAAAAGAAAGCAATTTTTCACTTCATTAACTATTCTAGAAGTTATTTCTATTTTAAAAAACTTGCCTTTGGTGAAGTTTAACATAGCTAGGCATTTTTATAAGGAGCTCAAACAGAACTTGAAGAAAAAGGTTAGATCACTAAACAAAATCACAAAATTTCTGCACTATTTATAGCATGCTATATTTTACTTGCAATTTCTTCCCCTACCTCCAAGGACATAAATAATAACCATTAGCAATGTCATATCAACAAACGGAATATAAAAGTGTGCTTACCAATATTTCCTCCAACTTCATACAAAAAAACTTCCCCTTTCTTGAGAGTCTGGACAATCCCACTATTAGGGATATAACAAACTGATTAGTTGTATTATCATCAAACAGTTTGCAAGTAAATCACTTTAATTGCTTAGGGAATCCTGGTTGTATGGAAAATTCATAACTTAGACACACTGTAATTATCTACATATTTGTATTTTCCCATCTGTTAAATGTGCTGAATAGTAATAAAAATGTCACACCTGTAAATTAAAATAAACAAGTGCTATCATGTGTCTGAAGGCAGAATCATAAATCAGTAGCTAAATTTGTAAAATTAAGAGTTATATAACACTTTAACTGTCAATAAAATTATTAATAAGATCATCTACTTTGCATAGAAACCAAAAAGGTCCTCATGAAACTATAAAGAGAAATGTTTGCACCTTCATTTCACATTGCATTAGTAAAAAGAAGTATTTATCACGGGTTCACTCTGCTAACAACCCTAATACTATAAAGATGAATATAAACAACAGGACATGGTTCATAACCCTCCCTGTGTTGGCCATTCAAATATGGAAAGTATACACTTAAAGTCAAAGCAAATTGTCATTATGACGACGTTAGAAGGATGCCTTTACACATGCATACTCTCATAGAATAAACTCTTCTAGAACATTAAGTTGAAACAATAAAAATTGGTACAATTCAGTGATTTTTCAAAACTCATATATAAATTACCTAAGAAACCTAAATAGATCATTGAATAATAGTGTAAGATGAAACTAAAAAGCTGGCATTTGGATCCAGATGCGCTATAGTGGATTCTAAGTCGTGGATAAGATTTATGAGCCACTGATGAACCATTTATAAGGCCCTGAACACATACACCCTGGAATTGAGAGGAGAAAATCAGGTTGGTCTTCCATTCAAATGTTTTTTCAAAGTATTATAAGGAGAAGCTTTCCCAACTAAGCATTTAAGGATTCAGCTGGTTCCCGTGCGGTGTGCCCTCATACTCAAAATCCACCTGTTGAATTGTATCCAAACCAAGAAGTAAACTTATTTTGTTTCCAAACTGGTGTACGCTTGTTTTTAAATTAAATAATTTTAATTTATTATTCTTAATATACTACATCGCCCAACAACTTATGAGTCTAAAAAGGAGTCATTTCTATGAAAACCAAATTGAATGATATGGAAAAGTTGATGGGAAAAAAACTAGTCACATATTGCCCTCAGACTGCTCTTCACTTTCTATAATCTTATTGCACTATACAGAAAACTCAACCGAATTTGTTGGTATATACAAGATTTCACATAATGTTCATCAACAAACCTATAAATACAGAGAAAATGATAAACTTTACTAAGACTGGAGAATGAATGTCCAACTTGCTGTACACTCATTTTATGTCATTTTCTGCTCATTGGACTTAACAGAGAAAGTAGGAGAGAAAAAGAATGGAACGAACTAGGGTTTCCAACGGCCCCTACCCAGGAGGAATGCATTTGGGAAGAGGGGAAATGTTGTCGAAGGCAATGATACATATGAACATTTATTGTCACTTATTAAATGATCCAAATAGATGGTGTTCATGTACTTCATGTTAATTATCACAAGACTATAATGTAGGTCCTATTATGGTCCACTTTTATAGCTGAGAAACTTTGGACTTAAATAGATCATTAAATAATAGCGTAAGATGAAACTAAAAAGCTGGCATTTGGATCCAGACCATGTTTCCATATCCCGAAACATAAGGAAAGGGGCTGAGAACTGGATGAGAAAATAGAGGCAAAGAGAGAAAGAAGTTTACCAGATTCCCTTGGGATGGGCAGGTTGGGGAAGAGGGAGGAGACGGAAGAAGAGTTCCCATGCCAGGGGATAGCATATGCTTATTTAAGAAAAGCCCCACAAGAAGAAAATGCAAATATGCTGAGGACAATTGTCAAAAAGCTGGTGTTTTCTATAATATGCCCATAGTGTCTTGCTACACCCTAAATATTGAAGTCACATTCCAAAATATCGTACAATTTCGTTGTCATATCTTGTGCTATCTGCAAATAGAGGGACAAAAATATAGACTAGAGGAGCACTTGGGTTCTGAAAGTGAATGCTGTGTAAATTAACCCTGTGTAGCCTGGAAGTCTCTGAATGAAGTCTCGCCATGTTTTCAAGGACACTTCCTAGGGGAAGATGGGAAGTCTCCCCTGGTGGAAGAATGACAAAGTGGTGGCTATGGAGGCACAGCAGGGAGCAGTCTTTGTCTAAACAAAGACACCCTGTAAGAGGCAAAGATGTTTAAGAAATCCCAACTGTTCCCCATACTTAATCTGGAATAATTCTAACTATCTCAAGACTTAATCAAGAAAAAATTCCATCCACTTCCACTGGCTCCACTTCCACGTCCAATGGCTCACAGATCCAGGGTACCCTCTAGATCCATGGGTCAGTGTGGAGAATGGTTAAGGGGCTGGTTTTGGAAGCAGCATTCAAGTCTATCACCTGTGAAGTGTGTGACCTTCAAAGTGTGACCTTCAAAGTTTTCTTATTAACAAAACAGAAGTAATATTAGTACTTACTTCAGAGTGACTTTGGGAGGGAAGTATATGCTGGCTTACTGAAAGCCCAGATATTACAAATAAGCTTCTCTTTTATTTCATCACCATCTGTTAGCTGCACAGGCGTATACCCTTCACCCCCAATTTATAAACCCTGAGGGAAGATACTTTAAAATATGTTTATACCCCCTTCAACATTTGGCAAAGTGTTTTAAACAAAGCAAAGTCATCTTAATACTTGCAGTACTGTACTAAGTTGGAGATATTTGGGCAGAAACTTAACTGAAGCCCCTGAATGTTAGAATGAAGAGATGGAAGTCTATGGAAAGTAACACAAAGTATTTTTAAGCAAAAAAGGTCAATGCCCTCCAATTCCCCTGTCTCTTATAAGAACTGGATTATCTTATTTCAATGAATAAGAGGAAGCGGAAGAGCATTAAAATTTCATTTGAGCTAAAAATCAGATTTCAATGGATAAAAACTGAAAATCCAATACACTTGCTTGAACTTCTAAAATTTAAGAGGTTTCAGATACTCAGGAAGCATCTCCTCTCATATTGTCAGAAGGTATGCTGATGGCTTTACAAAGGACTCCTCCTGCCTCAGCAGGCCTGGAATAGAGGGAGCATTTGGTTCCCTAACAAGGACAGTGAGCTCTTTATCGAGCCTGCCGAGCTCCAGGGAGAGGCTGGCCTCTTTCAATTCTTCATGTCTTCAAATTAAAGCATTTCTTTATATTCGTTCTATTTCATAGAAAGAGTTGTATCTTTTATTTGTTTGTTTTAATCCCACTCTATCCTAATTAATGACTCTCCTAACAGCCTACACATAGTAATTAACCTCCAATCAACACATTCTGGAAAGAATAGTGAGTGGCCTCATGTGCCAAGCCCATATTAGGCAGTGTGAAGGTATGCACAGACATCCTGCTTCAAACAGGCTCAACTTGAACACAAACTACATCAAATCAGCTCAACTCATTCCCGCAGTCTAATTGATGAGCCTGCTCTTCTTTTCAGCAAGGAAGACACATTTTTAAACACTTCAAAATACCCATGGTTTTTTTTGTTGTAATTGTTGTTGTTTTTTTTAAGAGGAGAGGGAAAGAGAGCTAGTGAGTTATACCAAGGAATAATAAAAAAACAAAACAGGCCTCTACCTTTCTTGGCTGAGAAACCTGGCAAGTACATCACTGGCTTTTAGTTCTTCAGTTAGCTGTATTGCCATGGAAACTTTCGAAAGATGGGGAGCTTGCACTCGAATCACTCCCTGAGGAACGTCAGCCTGCAAAGCAATAATGACACTGGAACAAAGCTGGCGGCAGCTGGAACATGTAACTCTGTACAATGCATTACATGGTAAGTGTGCTTAACTACGACGCATTTTACTTCACTACATAAAAACCTTAACTACTGTATAATGTAATTTGCTAAATTACATCAAACCTCAAATATCCTCTTAATGGTGATAGGGGAACTTTATAATGCCTGTGTAGTAATGCTTAATTATTTTTAAAGATGTAAAGAATGACAGCAATAACCATTACTGCCATATTAAGTGCTGATTTCTGAGTATTATCTGCTAGAGGGTTCTTCATGTAGCAATTTATGAAATTGAATCAGAAAGAACTTACATTGCATGATATTGCAATGTATGCATTTTTAAAATCTTTCTGCATGTTCACAAAATTTCACAAAAATTGTCCCTGAGAATAGTAAAAAAAAAAAAAAAAAAAAGAAATAGCTTTCTCTAATACATTTGTATTGGACTTGTTTCTTATTTGGCTCATGAGTTTACACTATGACCATACAGTTGGAACTTAAGATAAACAATCTCAATCCTTTTCCATGGATATTAAGCACATTTTATGTTTTGGGGAGATGAAAGTGAACGATTTGGGGGGATAATAAGGTCAAAATGTCAGCTTTCAAATGTTGCCATTTGAAATATTAGGTTTAATTAATTCCTAAATGGTTCTGCTAAAATAAACACTACTTTATTATTTATAACCATATGTCTTGAACAGATCTTAGAACAAATAGCATGCACAATTATGTTTAAAGATAACACCTTAAACACTACAAATACCCTGTTTAATTCAACCCAAATTTACTAAGCATCTATTTACTACAGGCTCTGTGCTAGTTGTACTTACCTCATAGATAAATAAGACATAAGTTACTGTACATTATTGGTTTGGGACTCAGTACTAGTTTTTAATGTACATGGGCTTGAGTTGCTTTTTTAAAAAAAAAAAACATAAAGCACGATCTGTCACAAGCAGAATTAATAAAATTCTCTTTCTTTCAAGGTTCAGCCAAAGTAATGTAACTTAGAATCAGGTAGCACAAGAATGTAGATAGCCCCAAAAGAGTGAAAATTGCCTCTCAGCAACAGTGAGATATGAGAGAATAACAAAGAAATAATACTACATAAGGCTATACAGGCATCAGGGATTGTGTAAGGCCTTGGCTTTGTTCTAGAAGAATTGCAAACACCTGTTATACCTCTGGAGACACTAGAGGGCTGGACACCAACTGCAGGAACTCTGCCTCCCCCACCTGACCACTCATATAAAGGGCTGTGGGGTTCATTCCCTCCAACCCAGGAAAAGACAGACATAACAATCTAGGACTGCCCACCTCCATCCTGTTGGATGAGAAGCCACATTTCTAGCATTGCTTGTTCAACTTCTACTGGACTATTGTGTTCAACCTGATCCCTGAAGGAGGCCCAATCCTACCCCACACCCACACTGTTCCTGCTTCATCTCTTCTTGATTTCTTGACTTCCAAGTTGACCTAATAGTAGTTTGTAGTTTGACCTGATACCTTATTCTAGTCTCTGACTTCTACCTCACTCTTAGGACACAAGTTTAATTTACTTTTGACCTTGATTCTAAGCCATATTCTATTTTTATTTGTATTATTTCAATAAATGACATGGTTCTTAAAGTGAAAGGGGAATTTCACATGGTAGTGTTACTCCCTTTTTCCTCTCAAAGCAGGTATTAGGAGGTATAGCTCAGTGGTAGAGCATTTGATTGAAAAGCAGGTATTAAATCAATGGTCTAATACCTAGTAACTAGTTTATAATTCAACAGTTATGCTACATGTACTTCTACCTTTGCTTCCATTTCTAACCTATATCCTGCTGGCCTAGCCTCAGGATATCTCTTTCCTCCTAAGAGATGGAAAAAAATAAGCTGGTCCTGATAACTTGAAAGTCGGAGTAAAAACTTAACAGCAACAGTGAAGCACAGAATCTGTGTTCAAAAAACTAACCCGGGGCCTCCGTGGTGGCGCAACGGGTTAGGCACCGTACTATGAAGCAATCCGCAGCTTCTGCAGCATTAGTTCAATCCCCGGCCAGCCAGGGAGCAACCCATATGGCGAGACAGACCTTTCCTGTCTTGCCGGCTGCTCCCCTCAGCAGTGTATTTCAGTCATTCTGCCTGTTCTGTTCTCCATTCTGTCTCTGGTGAATCCTCTCACCCTCCCACATCTCTGGCCTGTACCCCAGCTCTTGTATGCATAAATAAATAAATCTTTAAAAAAAAAAACTAAACTGCTTTGTCTATTTGGGAAACAATTATTGGTATTTTAGATGCTGTTAGTTAATTATTATATTATTGTTAATAACTCAGGGCCCTGAATGGCAGGCTGGGGTTTGCAAATAACCACATGTACTTCATATTGATTCAGAAAATTCTGTTGACGTCATAATGTCAAATATCCTTGTATATGCGTTTTCTATGAAAAGAATAGTGACCAAAATTCTCCTCATAATTACATCTTGACCAGACCTAGAATATCAAAAAGGCGTGCAAATCCTCGCTGACATTTAAAGTGAAGATAATATGATTAAGTTTGTATATGTAGACAGTCCATAATGAACAAGTCACAAAAACAAAAGTGATCTAGAAAAATAACATGTTACCATGGAGAATTCAGTAAAAGGGAACCCTAGAGAGTGCCTGCCTTTCTCCCCACTAGTCCTTGTGGAGCATCTATAGTTTGGGTGAGACAGTCCAATCAAAATCTGCTACAAGCACCCATGCTTTCTTATGTTTACATGTCTTAATAACCAGCTACCTATTTCTCAAGACCCAGATGAAATATCTCAAACACAATAGACACTTCCATGCACAGAGATTCAAAAGGCATTTCCTTCCCCCACTGAATTTTCCTCTGATCTCCTTTCTGGTGAGGATGTTAAATGACACCTATATTCTAGTCACATGCCACATGCCACACGCCTGTCATATCGATAACCATTTATCAACATACATTGATGAGATGAATCACTCAAAAAAATTTGTTACTAAAATAATATGCCAATCATGGTGATATTTCTCTAGAATAAAGTACTAATAAATAATGTATTTTCTTAATAGCAAAAAAATAATTTAAAAAACATTGTCTATTCCATGGTGTTCTTTTAACTGCTGAGATAAGACAAAAAGGGAAAGAGAGGTAAACAGAGGAATTAAAGATGTTACAAAGCATATTTCAGTCATTTATTCCAACCTGGAGCCAAGGAGAAAAGCCAGGACCACCAACATCAGGATGTATGAACTTGAAGAAGCAGCTACTTTGTCCCCAAGCCCCTCATAAACAGCTAAAGGCCTCTAATAATATGATCATAGGTCTATGCTTTCTAAATGAGTTCAGGGATCATGCTTTGGAGAGTGTATCCATGCTTCCTTAATAACTACAGCACTGAAGTTAGCGTGGACATCACTTATGACACAGAATCTAGAAGTGTTCTAATAGTTTGTGTTTGGAAGGAAGACAAGGCCAGATACTAACTTTTGAGGGTACTTGAGAATTCTCATACGTGTGTGTGTGTGTGTGTGTGTGTGTGTGTGTGTGTGTGAGAAATGTCAGGAAATTGGCACTTTGTGATTTTTGCCAGCATGGGAAGTAGCATGGGTATAGGTTCCTTATGCCTATGAAATAAAATATTCCCCACAATCCATCCTCTTTGTGAACAGGGATGAGGCTAGGCCTGCTGTGGTTCAACTTTGACTCTTCTCAAATTAACTATACTTGATTTATTTTTTGTGGAAATGGATTATCAATGTCTTTGAATGACTTTCATTAGACCAGCAATGGGAATAGCACCTTCCTAGATGGACTGACCACATTCCCTAACCAGTAAAGCTGTGTTCTAACACAGGGTATGTGTGGGTTTTCAGGTAGATGCATGTATTAGGGAAACAGAATAATCCTCAGCATGCTTATTTCTGTAGTAATATATCCCATAAAATTTCACAACAATATAAAAATTGAGGATTGACTCAATTTGCATCTACCATGTCTTACTGTTGGAGTTGACTGATAGGTGAAACGGTTAAAGATGAAGCATTAAAAAGTTGTTTCTGGAAAGATTTTTCTGGATATCTTCATAAGGGTGGCCATTTAGTAAATATTACTAAAGGTGAGAAACAATAAATGACACCAAAGTTTCATTTAAAAGGTGTATTACAAGTACTACTAAGTTGTAGAATCATGTTGTATCAAACACTAAAGCTATTGGTATGCTAATTACATTGAGCTGCCAACCTTTGAAAAGACCCAACACACCTGATCATTAAGCCAAAGAGTCTACTCTTAACTTGAGCCACAAATAATAACTGATTCTGTGAATGAATCTTTGCAAACCTTCCTATTACACTTTTTTAGACTAACATCTGTGACTCTGTCTTTATTTATTTATTTTGGCATGCTTCTGAGCTGAAGTTATGTGTTATGCAAGGAGACTGGAAAAGAGTAGCATTTGACTAACACCATTAAAGTTCCATCACAGAGGATTGTACAACTTAAGAATGTTAATTTCTTATGCATGCAAAGACTTATAATAAAGAAAATGATCTCATATGGCACTCAAATATTTTATATCTTGAACTAGAGTATATTTTTAATCTGATATTATTTCCTACAGTTGGTAGGCAATGATTTTAGTATTTTTTCAGGAGTTTTGGATAAACACTACTCATATTTTTGTACTCTGGAGATTAGAAATTTAATGGCAGAGACTTTAGAAGGACATTATTTTTTTCATTAAAAATTAATTTAAGGGCCTCCCTGGTGGCGAAAGGGGTTAAGCACAACATTTTGAAGCAATCCACAGCCTCTCTAGCATGAGTTCGATCACCAACCAGCCAGGGAGTAACCCACATGGCACAGCATACCTCTCCTGTCTTGCCCGCTGCTCCCCTCAGTGGTGTATTGCTGTCAGTCAGCCTGGTCTGTTCTCCACTCTGTCTCTGGTGAATCCTC